TAAATGCCATAGAACCGACCATGTTGCAAAATGTCATTGAAAATTTCGACCATCGCGTGGACGTCTGTAAATCCAGTCGTGGTGAACATTTCAGCGATATTATTTTTCATACATAAATGGTATAAATGAACCTTCAAAATAAAGTATCCAACTTGATTTGAATATCAATCTTTCTTGTTTTAATATGCGTTTACTTTCCTGCTTCCGTTTTGGACAACCCCATATATTATCAACGCTCCTCACTAAAGACGTAATTGCAATAGGCAATACTAACAAGCCTGAAACGACGTCGTATACAGTTGGTCGTTGTCACACTTATGTAAAGCAATCGCATCGGGTCCGACCTGTGGCTCCCAGGCTGTTTACAAATGGCGATGGTGTCCTAATCCATCGTTGAAGTCACCAGTTACTTTTCTCATTATCTCGAATACGCCTCTGGTCGGCTTATGTGGTCAAAACATCGCTTTTACATATAAAGCCGAAACGTGCGTTAGATGTTTTACGGGCGATTATCAAGTGGCCGTTGGATGTGACGTTGTTTAGCCGTTCTTTCGTTGTTTAGTGTTCCGATGGTACGACAGACAAACCGATGGACATCGGACGGGTATTGCCTGCATAATGTAGACGTTTCCAGTTTGCACAACAACCATCCTAGTTCAATAACCCTTTGCCTCTTAGTGCCACCGCCGATTTTTATGGATCTGTGTGTGCATTTGACACATATTTAACTTCTCATTGGCGTAGACACGGATTTGTTGAGAAAACGAAGGAAAAAGTGACCTCGATCAGAATCTATATTCAAAGTGGACCCTAGTCTCGTTGGCTATGCGTTCTTTGAAACTCCATTACAGCCAAGGGCAAATAGTAGCTTAGATATCTACCGCACCATAGTGAAGGGCACGCTTCACATGTTATCAATTCAATATTACTGGGTGTTTTTATGCCACTTGGTTGATTCTTTACCTAAAGATTGTCAAACGTTAACCGTTCTGCCTTGATGTTCCGAAAACTACATAGCCTAGCAAAAAAAAGAGTCAAACAACTGTTTTGGCTTTGAAGTGACAAAATGATGGTGACCTTGATCATGAGTATGGCCACGACCTTCAAGGCCAAGACAAAAACCGCTCATTTTTATGCTGGAGTTGAAAAATGCAGGACATTTGGATCTTCACGACAAAATGAAGAAAGCAATAAATTTCATATAAGAACGGACAAAATTTTGACTTGACCGTGAAGGTCATGGTCAAGGTCAAGGTCACCTAGTGACCTCACAACTGTGCTGTCGACAATTGTTCTAGAGCAAATTATTTTCAGCATCTTGATTTGAAGTCAACTTCAAGGTCATATTCAGAGGTGAAATTTCATCATCCATGCCATTCCGGTACAGAAAACGGGGGAATTCCACTAGAGAGTATTCAATTTACCTTGGAACGACATTAGAGATAGTGATCAAAGTCATGGTCAAGGTCAGCTTTGGGTGATCTTCACAATCCTCACAGCTGTGCTGTTGAACATATTGTTTTCAACCTCTTGATTTGACCTTGACATTCACTTAAAGGTCATAGTCAAGATCATATTTGGACGTAATATCTTTTCCTACTTTTAAAAAATGTGGGAGATCCGTTTGAAAACATTCACTTGACTTTGGAATAACATTGCAGGGAGTTATCAAGGTCACGGTCAAGGTCACCTTTGGATGATCTTCACAATCATCACAACGGTACTGCTGAACTTATTTACTAGAGCTAATTGTTTTCAACCTCTTGATTTGACCTTGAGATTCACTTAAAGGTCATAGTCAAGGTCATATTCGGACGTAATATCTTTTCCTCCTTTTAAAAAATGTGGGAGATCCGTTTGAAAACATTCACTTGACTTTGGAATAACATTGCAGGGAGTTATCAAGGTCACGGTCAAGGTCACCTTTGGATGATCTTCACAAGCATCACAACTGTGCTGTTGAACTTATTTACTAGAGCTAATTGTTTTCAACCTCTTGATTTAACCTTGATATTCACTTAAAGGACATGGTCAAGGTCAAGGTCATATTAAGACGTAACATTTCCTTCTCTTTTCAAAAAACGTGGATGGCTCGTTTGAAAATATTCACTTGACTTTGGAATGACATTGCAGGAAGTTATCAAGGTCATAGTCAAAGTCACCATCGTTTTGACCAGTCGAAATCTTACAAATTTTGATTTTTTCTACAAATTTGTACGAGTTTTTGAATTAGAGTTGGGGTTTTGATGAAGGCTCATAAGCTTTTCAGTCTCTTCTCCCAGACACTCGTATAATGTTTGCTTAAGAGAAACTATAGTACAAGTAGTGCAGTATGTTTGATATGAAACTTGGAGTTTATTCCTTAACACAAGAGTAACTAGGTTCTTACAATCATCACTTAGTTGGCCATTTTTGTTTGGTTTCCTGTATCTAATACTGTGAAGACCACCTGCTTTACTCCGATCCATCTTCTCCGCTCTGATTCAAGCTGATGTTAGGAACCTGAATAGTCAAAAGCACCGCCTAATATATGTTGCGATATTACAAATTCAATGGTCATTGTAACATTCATATTCCCTCCCATTTTTCATAAACGGTCGTCTACGCACCCAGGTGGTATAAACAAGGAATAATATATGGTAGGAGGCTGTGTAAAACATGCTCGCCGGCCACGAATTAACGTACTGATGGCACGACAGATAAACATATAAATCTAAAAATCGTGAAAGTACCAGCAAGATAAATATTATTTATGATTCTATACGAGGAAGCAGTGATAAGTAGGTATACAGTATTACACTAAAAGCTTCATTATGTTTGCAAGGAAACCGTGAATTTCTTTAAATAAATATTTGGTCTTAGATTAACCTAAATTGCTCTAGAGTGCACTAGATGCCTCTAGCTTTCTTTAGCTTCCTGTAGGGTACTCCAGATTCATCTGGATTCCTCTAGTTTCTTCTAGATATCTCTATATAGCTCTAGATTCCTCCAGAATTCTCTAAATTCATCTAGGTTCCACTAAATTCTTTTAGATTCCTCTAAATGCCTCTAGGTTCCTCTAGATTCCTCTAGATTCTTCTAGATTTCTCCAAATTCCTTTAGGTTGCTCTAAATCTCTCTAGATTCTACTAGATTTCTCCAAATCCTTCTAGATTCATCTAAATCTTTCTAGATTCCTCTATATTCCTCTAGATTCATCTAGATTCCACTAGATTCTTTTAGATTCCTCTAGTTTCTCTAGATTCCTTCAGATGTATCTAAATTCCTTTAGATGTCTCTAGATTCCTCTAAATTCCTTTAGATTCCATTAGATTATTTTAGATTCCTCTAAATTCCTCTAGATTCCTCTAAATTCCTTTAGATATCTCTGAATGTCTCTAGATTCCTCCAAATTCATTTAGGTTCCTCTAGATTCCCCAGATTAATCTAGATTTCTCTAGATTCCTTTAGATGTATCCAGATTCCTTTAGATGTCTCTAGATTCCTCTAATTTCCTTTAAATTCCACTAGATTATTTTAGATTCCTCTAAATTCCTCTTGGTTCCTCTGGATTCCTCTAGATTCTTCTAGATTCGTCTAAATCCTTCTAGATTCCTCTAAATTCCTTTAGATGTCTCCAGAATCCTCTAAATTCCTATTGATTCCTCTACTACATTCTTTCAGATTCCTCTAAATTTCTCTAGATTCCTCCAAATTCCTTTAGATTCCTCTAGATTCCACTAGAGTCCTTTAGATATATCTAGATTCCTTAAGATGTCCATAGATGTCTCTAGATACCTCTAAATTCCTTTAAATTCCACTAGATGTTTTTATATTTCTCAAAATTCCTCTAGGTTCCTCTAGATTGTTCTAGATTCCCTCAGAGTTCTCTAGATTCTTCTGAATTTTTTATTTCTAGAGGAATGGAGTAGAACTTATATGAGTCTAGATGAATATTAAGAGATTATTTTGTTGTTTCAGATGTGTCTACGTACCTCCTTCAACAGGCCAAACTTTTTTTCGTTCCGGATAGCCTACACCTATATTTGGTCTTAGATTCATCTAAATTGTTCTAGAGTGCACTAGATGCCTCTAGCTTTCTTTAGCTTCCTGAAGGGTACTCCAGATTTATCTGGATTCCTCTAGTTTCTTCTAGATATCTCTATAGCTCTAGATTCCTCAAGATTCCTCCAGAATTCTCTAAATTCTTCTAGATTCCTCTAGATTAATCTAGATTCCTTTAGGTTCTTCTAGGTTCCTCTAGATTCCTCTACATTTCTATTGACTCCACTAGATTCCTCCAGATTGCTCTAAATTCTTCTAGATTCTTCTAGATTTTTCTAAATTCTTCTAGATTCTTCTAGGTTCTCCTAGATTCTTCTAGATTCATCTAGATTCTTCTAGATTCTTCTAGATTCTTCTACATTCTTCTAGATTCTTCTAGATTCTTCTAGATTCTTCTAGATTCTTCTAGATTCTTCTAGATTCTTCTAGATTCTTCTAGATTCTTCTAGATTCTTCTAGATTCTTCTAGATTCTTCTAGATTCTTCTAGATTCTCCTAGATTATTCTATATTCTTCTAGATTCTTCTAGATTCTTCTAGATTCTTCTAGATTCTTCTAGATTCTTCTAGATTCTTCTAGATTCTTCTAGATTCTTCTAGATTCTTCTAGATTCTTCTAGATTCTTCTAGATACTTCTATATTCCTCTAGATTTCTCTAGATTTCTAGATTTTTTAGATTCCTCTAGAATTCTCTTGATTCCTCTAGGTTTCTCTAGATTCCCCTAGATTTCTTTAGAGTCTTCTAGATTCCTCTAGGTTCCTCGAGTCCTCGTAATTCCTCTAGGTTGGTTTCGGTTCCTCTAGATGGCTCTAGATTCCTCAAGATCCTTCTATATGCCTCTGGATTCCACTGGAAACCTCGAGACTTAACTAGACTCCTCGAGATCAATATAAAAGTATTATGTAGAAGATAGAGAGGCATAGAGATTCAGAATATTTCGATAGACATGCCTTACCTCGATAGTCATTGATTGCTACCACTAGAGTTAACGTTGAACCTAGGGGTACAATACCACTAACAGGAGGTGCCCAAGGACCCTTTCCATGCTGGATCTCCATCCAACAGTCCACATTGTCACCTGGAATATTAAAAAATCCCCTAAGTAATTTAATTAATTAATGTTTTTGTGAATATGGTAAATCCTAAGGATATGATACTGGAATTGGATGTTTTCTACGTAGTCGATGTTGCGTTCTATTTATTAAAAAAAAATTTCGAATAAAAATTTATATTTTTTTTAAATTCAAATTTCAAATTTTTGAAGGATCAATAAACATTTACAATTTTTATTTCATCCCACATTTATTTCCATATTGCTCACATCCAATTTTTTATGGAAGAAGTAATTTATCCTCGTTTTTGACACTGTCTTAGAAAAAACTCAAGCGCAGAAACAACAATTAAGCATCCGCCTGCTTTAAGCATGCATGGAGCATCTATAACTCATAACAAGTCTGCATTACTAATCAGGTTCTAACAGACTTTTTAGAGACGTTGCGGCTAAGGATAATTAATTTTCACATTCTATAACATACATTAGACCGCTAAAGGTTCGTGCGCTGTTTTTTTTTTCGAGATATTTACATAAACTTTGAATAAATAACTGATTCCGATTAATAAATTCTAATGCAACAGGTGCTCAGAGAGTTGGCAGAAAACTGGTTTGATGGTTTTATATGTAGCGAAAAAAATGCGAGTAAAAAATTGGACAATCCGGGCAGGATATTTATAGCTTGATTTAAATTATGCACCGTTTTGGCATCTATCTTTCTATGAAAGCAACTTTTTACTAAAAATTTTCACACCATAGTACTTTTATGTGAAAGACGAAAAAGCTTTGTAGGTTTTCGAAAATGGATCCAGTGACAGCGGAGAATTAAAATAGCTTATAACTCAAAGAACGAAAATACGTATACGTCTAGCCTCTAGTGGCTCTGCTAATAACATATTCTACGTTCCTCCTCAATAATATGAAATTTTCTCACCTCGAAAATCTAGCTGGATGACATCAAGGTCAGCGATGACCATGGGCGGCTTGGAAGCAGTCTTCTCATAATCGTTGAACCATTCACAGCGAAGCCTCTTCGCTTCATCCCATACTTCTAGCAGATCCTTGTCATATTGGACCACCACAGTGTTTTCGTAAAACTGTCCGTGGAGGTCTGGCTTCGTCCCACAACGGGTGTAGGCTATCCGGAACGAAAAAAAAGTTTGACCTGTTGAAGGAGGTACGTAGACACATCTGAAACAACAAAATAATCTCTTAATATTCATCTAGACTAAGTTCTACTACGTTCCTCTAGAAATAAAGAATTCAGAAAAATCTAGAGGCTCTGAGGGAATCTAGAGGAACCTAGAGGAATTTTGAGGAATATAAAAAAATCTAGTGGAATTTAAAGGAATTTAGAGGAACCTAGTGACATCTATGGACATCTTAAGGAATCTAGATACATCTAAAGGAATCTAGAGGAATCTAAAGGAATTTGGAGGAATCTAGAGAAATTTAGAGGAATCTAAAAGAGTGTAATAGAGGAATCAAGAGGAATTTAGAGGATTCTGGAGACATCTAAAGGGATTTAGAGGAATGTAGAGGAATTTAGAGGAATCTAGAAGGATTTAGACGGATCTAGAAGAATCTAGAGGAATCCAGAGGAACCAAGAGGAATTTAGAGGAATCTAAAATAATCTAGTGGAATTTAAAGGAAATTAGAGGAATCTAGAGACAATTAGAGACATCTAAAGAAATCTAGAGAAATCTAGATTAATCTGGAGGAATCTAGAGGAACCTAAATGAATTTGGAGGAATCTAGAGACATTCAGAGATATCTAAAGGGATTTAGAGGAATCTAGAGAAATTTAGAGGAATTTAGAGGAATCTAGAGGGATTTAGACGAATCTAGAGGAATCTAGAGGAATCCAGAGGAACCTAGAGGAGTTTAGAGGAATCTAAAATAATCTAATGGAATCTAAAGGAATTTAGAGGAATCTAGAGACATCTAAAGAAATTTAGATACATCTGAAGGAATCTAGAGGAATCTAGAGCAACCTAAAGGAATGTGGATAAATCTAGAGGAACCTAGAGGAATTTAGAGGAATCCAAAAGAATCTAGTGGAATCTAGATGAATCTATAAGAATTTAGAGGAATCTAGAAGGATCTAGATGAATCTAGAAGGATTTAGAGGAATCTAGTAGGATTTAGAGGAATCTAGAAGAATCTAGAGAAATCTAGAGTAACCTAAAGGAATTTGGAGGAATCTAGAAGAATCTAGAGGAACCTAGAGGCATTTAGAGGAATCTAGAAGAGTTTAGTGGAACCTAGATGAACCTAGAGGAATCTAAAGGAATCTTGTGGAATCTAGAGGAATTTAGACGAATCTAGAGGAATCTAGAGATATCTAGAGACATATAAAGGAGTCAAGAGAACTCTAGACGAATCTAAAGAAATTTAGAGGTATCTAGAGGAATCTGGAAGAGTCTAGAGGAATCTGGGGAACCTAGAGGAATTTGAAGAAATCTAGAGAAACCTAGAGGAATCTAGAGAAATCTAAAAGAGTGTAGTAGAATCTAGACGAATTTAGAGAAATCTAAAGGAATTTAGAGGAAAATGCATTTGGAAGAATCTAGAGACATCCAGGGATATCTAAATGTACTTAGAGGAATCTAGAGGAATTTAGAGGAATCTACACGGATTTGGACGAATCTAGAGGAATCTAGAGGAATCTAGAGCAACCTGAAGGAATGTGGATGAATCTAGAGGAACCTAGAGGAATTTAGAGGAATCTAAAAGAATCTAGTGGAATCTAGATGAATCTATAGGAATTTAGAGGAATCTAGAAGGATTTAGATGAATCTAGAAGGATTTAGAGGAATCTAGAAGAATCTAGAGAAATCTAGAGTGACCTAAAGGAATTTGGAGGAATCTAGAAGAATCTAGAGGAAGCTAGAGGCATTTAGAGGAATCTAAAAGAATTTAGTGGAACCTAGATGAACCTAGAGGAATCTAAAGGAAACTTGTGGAATCTAGAGGAATTTAGACGAATCTAGAGGAATCTAGAGACATCTAGAGTCATATAAAGGAGTCAAGAGAACTCTAGAGGAATCTAAAGAAATTTAGAGGTATCTAGAGGAATCTGGGGAACCTAGAGGAATTTGAAGAAATCTAGAGAAACCTAGAGGATTCTAGAAAAATCTAAAAGAGTGTAGTAGAATCTAGACGAATTTAGAGGAATGCATTTGGAAGAATCTAGAGACATCCTGAGATTTCTAAATGTACTTAGAGGAATCTAGAGGAATCTAGACGAATCTAGAGGAATCCAGAGGAATTTAGAGGAATCTAGAATAATCTAGTGGAATCTAAAGGATTTTAGAGGAATCTAGAGACATCTAGAGACATCTAAAGGGATTTAGATACATCTGAAGGAATCTAGAGGAACTGGAGGAATCTAGAGAAATCTAGAGCAACCTAAAGGAATGTAGAGGAATCTAGAAGAATATAGAGGAACCTAGAGGAATTTAGAGGAATCTTAAGGAATCTAGTGGAATTTAGAGGAATTTAGAGGAATCTAGAAGGATTTAGATGAATCTAGAAGGATTTAGATGAATCTAGAAGGATTTAGATGAATCTAGAAGAATCTAGAGCAACCTAAAGGAATTTGGAGGAATCTAGAAGAATCTAGAGAAATCTAGAGGAATCTAGAGGAACCTAGAGGCATTTAGAGGAATCTAAAAGAATCTAGTGGAACCTGGATGAACCTAGAGAAATCTAAAGGAATCTTGTGGAATCTAGAGGAATTTAGACGAATCTAGAAGTATCTAGAGACATCTAGAGACATATAAAGGAATCAAGAGAAATCTAGAGAAATCTAAAGAAATTTAGAGGAATCTAGAGGAATCTGGATGAATCTAGTGGAATCTAGGGGAACCTTGAGGAATTTGAAGAAATCTAGAGAAACCTAGAGGAATCTAGAGAAATCCAAAAGAATGTGGTAGAATCTAGACGAATTTAGGGGAATCTAAAGGAATTTTGAGGAATTTAGAGGAATCTAGAAGAATCTAGAGAAATCCAGAGGAATCTAGAGGTATGTAGAGATATCTAAAGGAAGCTAGGAGAACCTAGACGAAACTAGAGGAACCTTGAGGAATCTAGAGAAACTCGGAGCAATCAAGGGGAATGCGGCTGTTCTAGCATAATCAGTAATACGTCTAGAAGTGATCTAGGTGAATCAAAGTATCTAACGTCCTCTAAACTCCTCAAAACTCTTCTCAGCTCAGTAATGCCTCTTAATTCACTAAGTCTGCCCACCTGGGATCTCCGTGTTGTCCCTTAGACGACACGATTCCCTCGAACGGCTGCGAAAACGTGAGGTGTACGTCCATGTGGTCCTTCCCGCACATCACTTCCAGTGATTGGATGGAAGGCATGCCGTCAGGCCTGTCCATTGGCCACAGGTCCCCCCCACCACCTCCTCCGCCGCCAACGGCGAAGGACGCATTCACTGTCTGGAACAAAGAAATATCGGATCAGTATTTAAAATAGTACATTTCAAACCTCATTCAGAAGAACAGCTTCCCACCCGCCGATGTGATTCAACATCATGACCTCTCAAGGCAAAATTTATTAAGCGAAATATCCAAACATTATTGCATACTCGCAATCTCAAACCAAATCTAGCAGTTTTCTTATGGAAAATAGTTTTTGGCTGAATTAGGAGAGGTAGTTTCAATATGGTGAACCAAAGCCTCAATCTCAAGAAAAGCTCTCCCTAATCCCCTACGGAACCCAGAAATCCCCCAAGTAGGGGTTATATCCCCATATAGGGTTAATATGTTATCATCAAAGGAAAAAGTAAAACGTGCTGTTAGGATCTCTGCCAGACATTTCAAGATATAATGAATTTATCTAAAAATTGGGGAGGGGGGTTCTGGGTTTGACAGAGGGTTGGAGGGGCGTTTCTGGGGGTTGAACCCTGTGAGACTTGACATCGATATGTTAACAACTTCTTCTGTGCAGAATTTCAACTTGCCAAAACCCATTTTTTCACAAGAAAACTGCAGGTTTCTTCACAATCTTGCAAAGAAAACAAAGATATGTTACAAATACAACTTAGGGATGATGAGCAAAGTATTTTATTGATACCTTATGAAAAATATACATGTTACTGAAATTTTGTATAAGGCTTGGCAATGAATCAAATTTTTACAAAATAGATTATTCATTTAAAAAAGTATATTCGAGACTTCCATTGTCTGTACAATTTTTGAGATTGACGCGTCTTCAGGTGAACTAAAATCGAAATGTCGCGTCTGTACCAGACCCCCACAGCATCACTTCTACTACAATGCCTAACTATTTGAGAATACAATATAGGAAACAATTATTGTGCCTATAGGCATCAATATTGATTGTCATAAGATGAAGACATAAACCAAAGACTTTAATTTCATGTCTGTTATCGCTGACTATAAATCAACGCGTTCCCTTCAGGACTGTCATATTAAACAGTTTTCATAAAAAACAAGCCTCATAAATTTTATTTACATACATAGGAAGCTTTTATGGCCTGTGAACTTATCTTTTGTAAGCACTTCGTGGATGATAATGATGTGTATATATATAAAAAAAGAAGAGGCCCGTTGTTAGTTTCCACGCGAAAATTTTTGAAAAGGTACCTGTACCAAGCACGTGGATGCTTTGTACTTTTATGAAAATCGGTCCAGAGGCGACGTAGAAAAATACAAAAAACGAAGAAAAAAATACATCAAACCGTGTTTTTTGATGTTCCAGGCGATTGCGTGGGAATTGCAGAGTCAACTTGCTTGACGCCACTTTTTAAATCAAAAGCAAAATCGAGTTTTTGGTTTTGGTCACTGCCATCTAGATGTACGCCCATGTGTGATTATCTGTTTAGCAACGATTGATTCATCCCGCAAATACTGCAAACAGTCATAAGAAACAGTAAAAGGCATCGATAACCGTACACGACGGATGGTTGGACGGTTGGATCGTTGAATCGCGCCGCAAACCAATCCACCGTAATGAGTATGCTTGCTGCTTGCTCGAGCCATATTGTCTAGAGACTCATTATATACAGGGTGACACCAAAAAGCCATTTTAACAGATCTTTTGACGCAACATTATATTATTTTGTTAGAATTGCTCTCATCGTTTCCATCTTTAGCAATTCTGATATGATAAACGGCAGTTTCAGGTACCAGTTCTTGAAACCGTAGGAAAAATGGATCCCTAGCTAAGTATTGCTTTCTAGAGAAACTTAGATAAGCTTAAGGGGATTTGAATCAATCTAGTAGAAGCTGGAGAAATTTATACGGATCTAGGGCAATCTAGGTGAATGTAGAGAAATCTAAAGGGATCTATAGAAATCTAGAGGAATCTAAAGGAATCCAGAGGAATCTAGATGAATTTAGAGGAATCTAGAGGAATCTAGAAAAATGTAGGGGAATCTAGAGGAGTTTAGATGAGTGTAAAGGACTATAGAGGAATCTAGGGGGATCGAGAGGGATCTAGAGGGATCTAGAGGGATCAAGAGGGATCTAGAGAAATCTAAAAAAATCAGAGTAATCTAGTGGGATCTACTGGGATCTAGAGGAATCCAGAGGATTTAGAGCAATCTAGAGAGATCTATAGGACCCTATGGGAATCTATGGTAATCTATGGGAATCTATAGGAAACTAAAAGAATCTATTGGAATCTATAGGAGTCTATAGGAATCTATGTGAATCTATAGGAATCTATAAGAATCTATAAGAATCTATAAGAATCTATAAGAATCTATAAGACTCTATAAGAATCTATAAGAATCTATAAGAATCTATAAGAATCTATAAGAATCTATAAGACTCTATAAGAATCTATAAGAATATATAAGAATCTATAAGAATCTATAAGAATCTATAAGAATCTATAATAGATCTATAAGAATCTATAAGAATCTATAAGAATCTATAAGAATCTATAAGAATCTATAAGAATCTATAAGAATCTATAAGAATCTATAAGAATCTATAAGAATCTATAAGAATCTATAAGAATCTATAAGAATCTATAGAATCTATAAGAATCTATAAGAATCTATAAGAATCTATAAGAATCTATAAGAATCTATAAGAATCTATAAGAATCTATAAGAATCTATAAGAATCTATAAGAATCTATAAGAATCTATAAGAATCTATAAGAATCTATAAGAATCTATAAGAATCTATAAGAATCTACAAGAATCTACAAGAATCTACAAGAATCTATAAGAATCTATAAGAATCTACAAGAATCTATAAGAATCTATAAGAATCTATAAGAATCTATAAGAATCTATAAGAATCTATAAGAATCTATAAGAATCTATTAGAATCTATAAGAATATATAAGAATCTATAAGAATCTATAAGGATCTATAAGAATATATAAGAATCTATAAGAATCTATAAGAATCTATATGAATCTATATTATTCTATAAAAATGTAGAGGGATGTAGAGGAATATAGAGGAATCTAGAAGATCCTAGAGAAATCTTAAGGAATCTATAGGAATCTAGAGGAGTCTAGAGGAATGTAGAGGAATTTAGAGGAATCTAGGGGAATGTAGGGGAATCTAGAAGAATTTAGAGGAATCTAAAGGAATTTAGAGGAATCTTGAGAACTCCGGAGGAATCTAGAGGAAGCTAGAGGAACCTAGAGAGATCTAGAGGAATTTAGATTACGGTAGACTAATCTGATAGACTGGGGAGTTTTAGAGAAATTAAAAGGAACTTGGTGGACTCTAGAGGAATCTAGAGGACTAGGGGACAGACATGAATCTCGATAAGAGGATATCACAGTTATCAATGAAACCTAGACTTGGAGGAATCTGATGCTGCTTCTCCTTTATTCTTCCTGAATCGAATACTGCCTTATCGCTATCTAAAGCCAGCCTTGTTAATTCTAACAGTGCCTGTTAATCCTTTAAGCAAAACTCTCATACATTCATTTCCCATGCGAATCCCGTTGACACACATCTCGAGTATAGCAAACGGCAAATTACGATTGGATAACTGAAGATTCTAAAATCGAGTTTTATGCCAGCTCTCAAAATCATACGGAAACTGACTCTCTAGCTAAGTATTTTTTAGAGGAACTCATATGAGTCTAGATGAATCTAGAGGAATTTAGAGGAATCTATATTAATCTATAGGAATCTCTAGGAATCTATATGAATCTATAAGAATCTATAGGAATCTATAGGGATCTATAGGAATCTATAGGAATCTATAGGAATCTATAAGAATCTATTGGAATCTATAGGAGTCTATAAGAATCTATAAGAATCTATAAGAATCCAGAAGAATCTATAAGAATCTATAAGAATCTATAAGAATATATAAGAATCTATAAGAATCTATAAGAATCTATAAGAATCTATAAGAATCTATAAGAATCTATAAGAATCTATAAGAATCTATAAGAATCTATAAGAATCTATAAGAATCTATAAGAATCTATAAGAATCTATAAGAATCTATAAGAATCTATAAGAATCTATAAGAATCTATAAGAATCTATAAGAATCTATAAGAATCTATAAGAATCTATAAGAATCTATAAGAATCTATAAGATCTATAAGAATCTATAAGAATATATAAGAATCTATAAGAATCTATAAGAATCTATAAGAATCTATAAGAATCTATAAGAATCTATAAGAATCTATAAGAATCTATAAGAATCTATAAGAATCTATAAGGATCATAAGAATCTATAAGAATCTATAAGAATCTATAAGAATCTATAAGAATCTATAAGAATCTATAAGAATCTACAAGAATCTATAAGAATCTACAAGAAACTATATGAATCTATAATATTCTACAGGGTGGGGCAAAAGTCGCGAAGGGATTTGAAAAATTAATAACTTTTTTAAATTTTAATTTTAATTTTTTTCCCTAACACAAAACTAAAATGCAATGTTTGGAGTTTGTTTACAATTTAAGTGTGAAAGATTACATCACGCAAATGACCGCCATTTTCAGCCTCGCAAAGTGCAGCTCTTGCAAGAGCATTTTCCATTACCCGAGTCAGAATATCTGGCCCCAAAGCACTTACTTCTGCTCGAATATTATCTTCTAGTTGCTGCAGGGTTGTGGGTTTATTAATATACACTTTTCCTTTCAGATATCCCCAAAGGAAATAATCAGGGGCTGTTAAGTCCGGCGAGCGGGCGGGAAAATTGAATCCTGAATTTCTCGAAATTAAACGTTCGCCAAAAATCTGCCTTAGAAGGTGCATAGTGGCTCGAGCAGTATGCGCAGTGGCTCCATCTTGTTGGAAAGTCATCGTTTGATTGTCAGCAAGAGCTGGTCTTAAGAAATTTTGAATCATATCACGATATCGGTCGCCATCTACAGATACAGCATTCCCATCGTGGTCTTCGAAGAAGAATGGTCCAATAATTCGTTGAGACGTAACTGCGCACCATACTGTACATTTAAGCGGATGTAATTGCCT